GAAAATGCAAAAACAAAGGAGGGACAGATGCCTAGACTAAGATTCTGGGGAGGATAGGAAGGAGTAAAATCTAGGGTAAAAATAAAGATCAAAGGTGTAACCACTGGGAAAAATTAGAGAAAAACTAGATGCTGATGCTAAGAAGGTTTGTGCTTTTGAGGCTAAATAATCTATTGTAAGTGTGGAGGGAGAGGGTGCAAATAAGGGGTTGAAGAACTAAGAAAAGGTCTGGAATAGATTCCATGGTGACTGAGATGTAAGGAATCAATCATTATAGAGTAGAAATATTATACAGCAGTTGAAAGGACCTGAGATGAAATTATTTTTCATAAATGTATATTGGGTAACATCAGCTTCACTTAATGATTTTTCTCTTGGACACTCGGCACTAATCAAGTGGAAACAGAGTAATTGTATGGTGACGATTATCCAGGTCTGGAATAGTAGAAGGTCAGGAGTGCAAGGAATTCTAGGGGAATAATTTAGTGGCAGTCCTTGGGGTCACTCCCCTATAGATGGAGCTCATGTGTATAAATAAAAGGAAAGCTATAGTAGAGACTGCTAAGTAGTGCAGTAGATAGAGTGCCAGGCCTGGAGTCAGGAAGACCTGAGTTCAAATTTGGCCTCAAATACTTACAAGCTGTGTATCCTGGGCAAGTCACTTAACTATGTTTGCCTCAGTTTCCTCATCTGTAACATGAGCTGGGGAAGAAAATGGCAAACCACTCCCCTATCTTTGCCAAGAAAACCCCCAAAATAGGTCATGAAGAGTCAGATGTAACTGAAAAATGACTGAACAGTAGGGACATTGGACTGAGGATGGGTCAAAGGATGAGCCAAGGAACTTGGGGTGTGGTGACAGATGAGGGTGAAAAGTAGACTTAGAGGAAGAGAGTGGGAGAGGTGAAGGGAATAGGATTTGTGGTTGGAGAGTCTAATCTTCAAAATTTGGGATCTTGGAAGTGTTGTAGTTTTGAGAGGCAGCTTTGAAGGAATGTTACTAGAAACCCAGATAGTAAAGTCATATTTTGTATCTCAGTTTCACTTTCTGTGAAAAGGGAGAATAAATAGTACATTTCATATCTCCCATATAGAATTTCTTTCTGGGAATATTTTCAGAATAACTGCAATCATTCATCTTAAATGAATGATTGAATTATTTTGGGGAAAGTATTCTATTCTTATTCTTCACACATTTTAAGCAAACATTCTTAACCTGGAGTCTGTAAACTTGGTTTTTAAAAAATATATTTTGCTAACTGTATTTCAGTATTATTGGTTTCTTTGTAATCCCATGTGTTGTATTTATACATTTATAACATTATTCTGAGAAAGAGTTCTTAGGCTTCGCCAGACTGTCCACAAATTCCATAAAAAAAGGGTAAGAAAAAGGTAAGAACCCTTGGTGTAGAGGAACAACTTGTCAATACTTCATGTAAGGCACATGTATTGCTTTACTTTTCATATAGCTTTACCTGTGGTACTAGAGCATTAAAAGTATAATGGATATGTGACAGTAATAAAGACCACTGGGGCAGCTGGCCCTGGAATCAGGAGAACCTGAGTTCAAATGTGGCCTCAGCCACGTAGCATTCACTATCTGTGTGACTCTGGGCAAGTCACTTAACTCCGATTGCCTCACCAAGGGAAAAAAAAAAGGCCACTGCTTATGTATTCTCAGCAATAGTGGTTAGCAGTTCATGGCCACAGCAACATTTGTTGTCCATGGTTTTAGGAGAACATTTCTTCTCTAAGCCTTTGCCTTCATTTTCAATTCCTCTTTCTTTTCTTTTCTTTTTTTAACCATAGCAATTTAGGATAAAAAAAAAACAACCAAGAAACAAAAGAGCATAATAATTTGATAATTTTGCTTTTATAAAAATGAAAAGAAATATCAATAGATAGACCTTGTTGGCAGCTGGCAGCCACCAACCTTGTTGGCAGCTGGCAAATTCAGAATAGGATTCTATTCTAGGATTTGATATTTTGTTCTCCATTAGTGCCTACATTTCCTACTGGGAAAGCAGAAGACTGAGTAGAGATCTGTTCTGTGAAGTTGAGAGCAGAATTTTTTAAGCACTATCCTGAGTTAAAGAATGATTTGAAAATTTAGAAATAATGCTGTCATCCATCTGAATTGTGAATAAACTTACTAATTTAAGGAAGTTAAATCAATGGAAATGACTACCATTTTGAAAACAAGGTAGTTTAAGGGAGGAAGCACTAAAGAACAAACATTTACACAGGAACTCTGAAGAGATCACAATGAACTATATACATCTGCCATCAAAAGTTTTTAGATTTAATTATAAGCTATGCTCTTTCATTTTGAAGTTAGGATCTCTGAGGGAAAAAACTCTGGCTTCTCTCCAAAAATTCTAGTTGGAGAAATATTTTCTATAACATCGTTGTTGATTAAAAGTAGAATCTAATAGGATTAAAAAAGCTTACAACTTGTACTGCTCACTGATAACTTGTTAAAATCACCAAGATTTACATTGATCTTTACATTGATGGTTGCAAATACTAGTAGAAAACAGTTTGAAATTCATGTCAAGCCTTGAGTTAGTAAGCTGTTATTAGAAGCTTCAAGATAAATAATTTGAACTTTAGAATCTACTGTATCTATTAATCAAAAGTTCAGAATCATTTTAATAGTCTCTTAAAGGTAAGCATCAAGGGGTGAAGCCTTAATGGAAAAACCTATAATAATTTAATTAAGCTTATAGGAAAACAGCATTAGGATGATATTTCTTTAATAAGTCACAACTTTCTGGTGTATATATACAATATAGCAACAGCTGTATATTTGGAAATGTGCACATGACTCAGTTATCCATGTTTCATTAGGATTTTTAGCATTATTTGGGAAACTTTCTCACATCATGCTCCTCACCTGCTGCAAAGACATGACAATTTATTCAAATAAAATAACTTTGTGGAGTGCTTTGGTCCTCCTCAAATGCCATGTTGTTCAGTAGTCTGACTGATTTAGTACCTTAAATGTTTTTGGTCCTCAAAAAAACTTTTTGAATGACTAAATAATGAAAAATATTGATAATTCTACATGATTATTCTAACATTACATTGTAGGAGTTTGGAAAGTAATATTAGAAGATAGCCATTATTCAAATGTTTGCTGTTACTCAGCATTTTTAAAAATTTTGATGGAATTGCAAGCTTCAAGGATTATTCACTTCTTTTTTTTCTTTGGCCCTCTTCCAGAGCTTTCTTGTATCAAAATAGCTTTCTAGTGGCGTCAGTACAGATAAGTAGAGAAATTTAAATATTAGATGGTTCATTGATATTGGCATCACCTTGTATGCTTTTGGTAATTTAGGGCTGGTAAAAGTGGTACGATTAACATTTTGACAAGGTTAATAAAATCCAAAGTTTTTCCATCTGTTTTCAGATAAGTTGAGGTTTCATTAGAAAAAGATTGTTGCCAGAAACCAGGAAATATTTCTGCTCAATTCTGTAGAACACTTTTCTTCTGGAAGACATTTTGGTACCAGGTAGATCACCTGGGCATGAAAAGACTCAGCTCAGTAGATAACACCAGATGGAGACTCTTTAGGAGCTGCTTTAGGGTACATTTTAGAAGAACTAAAATAGTTAAATAAAACTGAAATAGTGTCTGTATCCATAGATTTTAACAAGTTAGTAATCCCTCTCCTACATAAACTACTGATTTCAAGAGGCAGCAAGGAGAGGGAAAAGGAGGTAAACAAGAACTAGATTATAGTGTTTTAATTTTATTTTCTTTAAATAAATTATCTAAACTGAAGCATTAAGTATTTTACATTACCTAAAAAGGCTACTCCTAGTTGGATTTCTGTCCTTTTGTTACATTATAAATGCTAAGTGGTCAGAATCTCCAGTTTCTTTTTAAAATCATACTTGTTTCTGTGTTGATTATAGTACACAAAAACAACTCTACTTGATACTTGGGGAAAAGAAATGTGCTTTAAGTTGTTTAAATGTCAATGTTCAGGGCAGCTAGGTGGCACAGTGGATAGAGCACTGGATCTGGAGTCAGGAGGACCTGAATTCAAATGCGGCCTCAGACACGTGATACTGACTAGCTGTGTGACTGGGCAAGTCACTTAACCCCAATTGCTTTGCCCGAAAATAAAAGGAAAGCTATATAAAAAGGGGGGCAGGTAGGTGGCACAGTGAATAGAGCACCTGCCCTGGAGTCAGGGAGACCTGAGTTCAAATGCGGCCTCAGACACATGATACTCATAAGCTTTGTGACCCTGGGCAAGTCACTTAACTCCGATTGCCTTGCAAAACAAAACAAAAAATGTCAGTGTTCAGGAGGGGAGGGAGGGAGGGAGAGAAGAATGGAATTTGGAACTTAAAACTTTAAATTAAAATATTTTTAAAAAATCAGTGTTAGTGGAACTATGGTTCAGAGTCCAGGACGTTTTGTCTCTAGATAGATCACCAAATCAGGCTCCATATTGCTGTGTAGTTACCAAAAAATGTTTCCCATAAATGTTACTCAGATGTTCTTTTGAGCATTTTTTTTCTTTTTGCTAGGAATCACTTTGGTATAAGGCTAAAGTTTTATAATTGACCTTTCATCTTTCATAAATTAATTTCCCTTTATGTTTTGCAGCCAGTGTTTGAAAGCTAACATGAAACAACTCCAAAATTAAGGATCAGATTTAAGACACAGGGAATCTTGAAAATTCTGTTCTTGTAGAATGTTGTTTCTACATTGTAACTGATACCACTGAGTCTCCTGTTTGTGATTCTTGGGGGAAGCTTAATTTTTCAGTGATCCTGGCATCAAAATGTTCCTCTTAGGGAATGGTAGAGAAAATAAGGAGCTCTTTTGAGTAGAATTTATATAACCATTTTGCGGATGGAAAAGGGGCTTTCCAAAATAGTACTTTATCCTTGTCCTTACTAGATTTGGGATTGCCGAAACACTACTTGAAAACAGTTTAGATCTGTGTTGCTAATATATACAATCTCTGCTGTCTTTTTAGATACCCAATCAACTGTGGAGCTGAGAAATTCACAGGAGCAGCCTGTGTTCACAGGTATCATCAGGTTTTCTGTCTTTAAAGTTATTGTCCTTAAGCCATGAAAGGACGGAAAAGTGTTCTCTTTCAGATTTTGGTATCTTGTAGTGAAAGTGCTTGGAGCTCAACAGTTGAGAATATGGTTGTGATACCAAGATAACTGTTGAATTAAACCCCCAAATAAGTTGCATGAGTTTTTTATCATCATGACAGCCAATCCTGCTCCCTCCCACAGTTTCTGGCACAGGAATTTTTTTAATTGGTTGTTTTGCTTCCAGTGGATCTTTATTATCCATTCAGAAGTTACCTGTTATCGAGAATGTAATGAAGAGTTAAATTTTAATTTAATTTAGAAGAATGAAGAGTTAATATTAACTTGATTGTCTAGTAGAGTTCAAAGGCTGGAGGGGGAACCCTTAAAATAACATCTTTATGAATTGAATAGGATGCATGCTTGAATATTGAAGGTTTGTAATACATTGGAAATTTATTTATAAAAGGTTAATAGGGACCATTGCTTTCTGAAGAGTATGTTCATCGTGCTATATACATTTATATCCAGGTGAGGTGAAATTGTTCCTCATATTGTCAATTAACCATTATTAATTCTCTTAATACCAAAGAAGCATTTAGCAAATCACTAAGAGAACACATATTTCTTGCATCATAACAAACTGTAAATCTTTGAAAAAAATGTTTTAATAGTTGACAGATAATGAATAAGTGACTGCATGAAAGTTTTCCCTGGCAACAAGAAACCCCCTTTATATATATATATAAATCTAAGATTGGCTTACTTAAGTAGCACAAACATAGTGCTTTTCCCAATTTCCTTCTACCACTCTAATCTCTTTCTTTAACTCTTCCATTTTCCTTTTTTTTTCCTTTGAGGCTTTGCTTAGCTGTTTTCATGTTGTTGTCTTCTTCTGAGTTTGTGTCTTGGTCTTCCCTGCCACCATAGTAATTTTCTGCCTTTGAATTTTTATGTTAAAGTTGGGCTTTGCTCACCTCGGGGTAGAGAAGTGCCTTCCCAAGTTTCAGGTTTTTTACACACTGCTATTTTTATTTATTTACTTATTTATTTATTTTTTGGTGAGGCAATTGGGATTAAGTGACTTGCCCAGGGTCACACAGCTAGTAAGTGTCATGTGTCTGAGACTGGATTTGAACTCATGTCCTCCTAACTTCAAGGCCAGAGCTCTATCCGCTGCGCCACCTAGCTGCCCCTCACACTGCTATTTTTCAGAGCTAGTTCTAGGGATCTGCAAGTTTTTGTTATTTCCAAGGTAGTGTGATCCAGGGAGAGGTATGGACACTACTCTCCTGGTCTGAGCTCTGGTCATTACTCAGGAGGGGCCATCCCCTGCTGCACTGTAGCTGTAAAACTCTAGTGTTCCTCTTGGCCCTGGAACTATGACTAGGGACCCCGCTCTCTTGTGGCCTACTATAAGACCTCCTTTCAGTCCTGGAACTGTAACTCAGAACTGTGTATGGGCAATATAGTTGCCAGTTTCCATCTTGTGCCCAATTTCAGTTCTGGGTTCTCTGTAATCTTTCTGACCAGTTGTCCAACTCCCTTATTGTTTCTGGGCTAAGAGGTCCCAAGGCTACTACTGCAGCTATCACAGCTGCTTCTATAGCCCATCGGGACTGTTGTCACAACCAGTTGCACTCCAGGCCTGCCCCTACCCTGGTGTCATAGTTGTCTTGGGCTGGACCTAGACATTTGTTGACTATGCTGCTCCAGAATATGGTCTGAGGCATTATTTTGAAGTTGTTTAGAGGGAAATGTTGAAAAGTTTGGCTAAGTTGCTGCCTCTGCTCTGCCATCTTGGCTGCAAGTAGTACATAGGTATTCCTAAAACACAGTGACTGTGTCACACATCCCTCCTACTCATAATCTTCAATGGCTCCTTCTTCTAAATAAAAACAAAAAATTCTTGGTCTGTCGTTTAAAACAATACATAATCAAGCTCCCTTTAATCTTTCCAGTCTTATTTTGTATTGCTGTCCTCTCCATGCTCACTTTTGTATTCAAATTGACCTGCTTTCTGTTTTACCATGCACAAACATTACATCTCTTATCCCTGTGCCATTCCTGAAATACCCTCCTTTCTTGCATCTGCCTTTTGGAATCCCTAGACTCCTTCATAGCATGGATCAGGTGCCACCTTCTACATGAAGCCTTGACTCAACTTGCCCCCTTTAGTTATTAGTGCTTTAATCTCTTAAGATTACTTTGTATATACTTGGTATTTGCTTATTCATATACACGTTGTATTCTCCATAGTAGAGTATAAGCTCTTGAAGGCAGGGGCTGTTTAGTGTTTGTTTTTGTAGCCCTAGCCCCTTGGGCAGTGTCTTGAACATAGTAAATACTTGATAAATGTTTATTGAATTAAATATTGCAATTTGTGTGCCTTCTTACATTATAAGCCAGTTACATAAAATAGGACTTATATTCTATCATATTGGATTTGTATTATCATCTATTCCTATGCATTTTAAGTATACATTGCAAATTTAATCATTTCAGGAATGAGAAGGAGGGCTTTTTAGAACTTTTTAGAACAGATATCTTCAAACTTCTAATATACAGTTATATGACTATAGAATTTAGAACTTAAGAGTTTTTACAAATCAAGGATTTCATTCAATATTTAAGCACATACTGACTTGCTCTACAGAATATACTTTAGTAGATATGCTTTTTTCCATGACCTCATTTACTCTTGTATATATTCTAGCAAATATGCTGGCTCATATGTTAACTTTGTTGTCTTGTTCTTGGATTGCTGTGTTTTACTTTCCTATGCCTTTGCTTCCAGGTTAACTTTTTAATTTGTAAAAACTACAAAATTCAACAAGTGTTAGGCAATAGGCTTGAGAAGCAAAAGTGAGTCGCATATATTATCCTTCTTCAGGATATAGTGTCAGTTCTAGTGCTTTGAAACTAGGAAGGTGGTCAATAGGTTAGCACTTATTGATTGGTAGAAGCTGAGTAATTTTTCATTTTTTGTGCTCTACTTAATTATTTAATCATGCTTAAATATCAATGTAATTCTAGATGCTTTATGATAGTAGTAGATGACCTTTATGTCTATATAAACCTGTGTAAAATCCTTTTCAAACCTTAAGCGCTATATAAATGTTAGCTTTTGTTGTCACATAACACCTTAAGGCTTTATAGAGGGCTTTGCAAACATTTTCTCATTTGCTCTTCAGAACAAGTCTCAGGTTGGTACTACAAGTGTTATGAATTTTACACATGAAGAAACTGAAGCTCAGAGAAGGGGAAATTATTTGGCCAAGGTCACTTGGTTGGTCAGTGATAGAGACATAATTTGAACCCTGGTCTCTCTTGATTCTAAGTCTAGTATGCTTGTCAGTTCATCATGTTTCCTTGAAGGAGTCTTATCACTAATTGATCAGAGAAGTATAATTTTCTTTTACATGTGTTTTTTAAATTAAATTTTATTTTCAAATAAATATCTGCCTATTGTCAGCCCCACCTCCCTTTCTCCCCAACATTTTAATTCAGTTTTATTTTGTGTACCAAATTCTCTCTGTCCTTCCTCCTGCTCAAAACCCTATAATAAACACATATAGTTAAGCAAAAGAAGTTCCCATGTTGGCCACATCCAAAAAAAGTCTCAAACACACTTTAAGTCCATTTCTCTATCAGAAGGTGGGCAGCACATGTCATCATGAGTCCTTTAGAATTGTGGTTGGACATTGTGTTGATCAGAGTTCCCAAATCTTTCAAAGATGTTTGTCTTTATACTATTGTTATTATTGTATAAATTATTCTCCTGATTCTGCTCACTTCATTCTGTATCAGTTTACATGAGACTTACCAAGTTTCTCTGAAAACATGTCTTTCATTATCTCCTGCAACACAATATGTCATCACATTCATATACCATACTTGTTCAGCCATTCCCCAATAGATGACTGCTATAGTAGCTTATAATTTTTTGATACCACAAAAAGCTGCCATAACTGTTTTTATCTATATGAGTCCTCTTCCTCTTTTTCTGATATCTTTGGAGGATAGACAGTATTGCTAAGTCAAGGGCTCTTACTAGCTTTTTTGGGGGGGAGGGGTGCTACACTTCTAAATTGCTTTCTAGAATGATTGGACCAGTTCACTGCCACACCTGATTTGTATTAATGTACCTGTTTTCCCCTGTACCCTCCAGGATTTGTCATTTTCCTTTTTTTTCCCTCATAATTTAGCCAATGTTTTGTTATCTTGTTATTTTTATTTTATTTTATTTTATTTTTTTGGCAAGGCAATGGGGTTAAGTGACTTGCCCAGGGTCACACAGCTAGTAAGTGTTATATGTCTGAGGCCAAATTTGAACTCAGGTCCTCCTGAATCCAGAGCCAGTGCTCTATCCACTGCGCCACCCTAGCTGCCCCCAATTTAGCCAGTATTTTGGGTGTGATGCAGAGTCTCAGAGTTGTTTTAATTTACATTTTTCTAATTATTATTTCATATGGCTATTGATAGCTTAGAGTTCTTCCTCTGGAAACTGTCTTTGACCATTTATCAATTGTGGAATGGCTCTTATGCTTATGAATTGAATCAGTTTCCTATATAACTTGTAAATGAAATGTTTATCAGAGAAATTTGCTACAAAGATCTCCCCTTCCACCTCTACCATTTACCTGCTTCTCTTCTAACTTTAGCTGCATTGGTTTTGTTTGTACAAAAACTTTTTAATTTTATGTAACCAAAGTTTTATACTTTACCTCCTGTGAACTCTTTTATCTCTTGTTTGGTCATGAACACTTCCCCATCCTTCTATTCATAGTTATATGTGATTTTTAAAGGCTTGCTACAATATATTTTTAAAATAAGTTTTTGTTGATATATTTTGTTCTTTTTGTGTCATCATAATTTCCCCCAGTATCCTTGCCCTACTTCCTCCCATATAGCCATCTGTTATAACAGGTAAAAAGAAGAGGAAAAAAATCAGCATAACTGATCAATACATTGAAAAAGTTTGAAAAAATGTGGAATGTACAGCATTTGTGCACCTCCCACCTCTACAAAGGAATTAGCAGGGGGTATCTTTTCATATCTCTTCTTTTGTGTCATGCTTGTTCTATATAATTGTCACATTCACTCTTTTTGTGTGTGTGTGTGGTAGTTCTTTCCATTTTCATTGTTGTAGTCATTGTGTATTTTGTTTTATTGGCTCTGCTTACTTTACTCTGCATCAGTTCAAAGATATCTTTCCATGCTTCTCTGTATTCATCATATTTGTCATTTTTTAAAGCACAGTAATATTTCAGTACACAATTCACTTAGCCATTCCTCAATCAGTGGACATTTACTTTGTTTCCAATTCTTGCTATCACAAAAAGTACCGCTGTGAGTATTTTGGCATCTCTGAGGACCTCTTATCAATGAGCTCCTTGGGATTTAAGACTAGCAATGTAATATCTGCAAAGGGTATGGAGTATGGTCATTTTACTCATTTTCTTTGCATCATTCCAGTTTGCTTTCCAGAATGGTTTTACTGATTCACAGTTCCACCAGCAATGTACTAGTATACCTATCTTCACCCAACTCCTGCAATATTGACTTTTCCCATCTTTTGTCTTCCTTGCCACTTCTTGCTATAGCCTTAGGTAGGATTTAATTACATCTTGGGGCAATCATATTTTCTAGAGTACGAATACACCTTTGTGTTCTTAGTAAGCCATGGGAAAATAGAACTTGATGTGCAGAAATTTTATTTTCTTATATCTCTTCAGAAATACCTTTGTATTCTTAAGTTCAATACTTAGGTCTGTATGTCATCAATTAACAAACAGTAGCAGGATCCTAGTAAATGTTATGAGAGTAGGGAGTACCAAACTAAATAAAAAACAAACTCTTTCACATTTTAGTTCTAGCCAGAGAAATTAAATACCTACTAAGATTTAACTGACCATGTATAAAGCAAAGCTTCATGTGCTCAAGTTGCTTAGCTTCTGAAGGTTTCATGTATTATACCAAAAAAGCTTAATATGCCATCTACTACTGAAGGTTTGTATGAAATAGATCATTGGTCATCTTGTTAATAAATATTAATAAATAGCATGTCTAAGAGTTGAATTGTAGTTAAATGATTAAGATTATTATTATTTATACTTTCATTTAGAAGGCCAGGTGATTTTGAATGACTACAGTCCAGCCAAACCTCAAGAAGTAGAAAATATGGACAGTGGAGAAGACAATAAAGACCAGGTCCCACCCAATGAAGATGAGGATATAGGAGGTAAGTTGGAATTTACTTTCCATAAACTAATGGTTAAAGGTTTGATAAATATTCAACTTTTAAGGAAAATAAGGAGTTGTCTGAGGATAATGGAGAACAAATTATTTTGGGAAGGATAAAACAGTTTTGTTCAATTACTATGTCTTCTTAAAATTCATCCCAAAATTTCATCACATTTTTTAGAACATAGGATGCTTCACCAGTCTCCTAAATAAATGCACAGCTTACACTGAATTTGCACTTATCTTTTATATTAATGTTTATGTTGGCACAGATATATAACATAAACAATCTATGTTGCTTTTGGGAGTCAGTCCTCGAATCGTTATATATAATGTGTGTCTAAATGTGTGGTGTGTTGCAGACAGTTTACTAGGATCTCCCTCTTTCATTGAAGTCTTTATAATAAACATTTAAAGAGGTCACGAAATAGAGCTGTGTGTCTAGAACCTCTGAGATTGAAATCACAGCATAAACTAACATTCCAGCTATGCCGAGCTATACTTTAGCTTGTGCCAGTTCTAAACCACAGAGACTGAAAAGTGCTGCTTGGCACAGGATGTGGTCATTTGTGCTGAGGAAGGCATATGGTGCTCTACCAGCTCCATGAGACTTCTTGAAGGTGACTTATCCATGGCATTGCACTCTCATCAAGACAGAGAGTGGCTCCAGCATGGCATGAAGTTTTTTAAGTAATGACTTACACATATCATAGTGTTTAAAATTGTGTTTGAATTGGGAGATCATTGGGTATAGAGGGTTTAGAATTATTATTATTATTTTTAAAGGCAATTGGGGTTAAGTGACTTGCCCAGGGTCACACAGCTAGTAAGTGTCAAGTGTTTTGGTCTGAGGCCAGATTTGAACTCAGGTCCTCCCGACTTCAGGGCCAGTGCTCTATCCCCTGTGCCATCTAGCTGCCCCGTTTAGAATTATTTGTTAAAAATTCTCTTAGGTTTGAAACATGGCATGTGATTATCCTGTTTAGGAGCAATTAAAACTGACAACCCCTTCATCCCACCCCTGCCAAACCCCCAACCTAAGACAAGAAGCCAGAACCATTCTTTTTATTCATGTCAATTTTTGAAGAATATTGTGAAAGAATATGGTGTGGTGGGTAGCTAAATATTTGAAAATTCCCTGCACTCAGCAAATGCTGCCTAGATAACAATAAGCCATCCTCTTTCAACCCATATTCAACAAATCATTGTCATTGACTCTATTCTAGAGGAATTGGCCCAGTGACAAGAGGGAGACTCAATTTCTGGAGCTCATGCATCTTGGGACATAGTTGACAGTTATAGATAATAACAAGAGCTAACATTTATATACAGTATTTATGTTTTTCAGCACTGAATACCTGACATAGTAGGTGCTTAATAAATAATTGTTGACTAGTGCTTTATATATATATTATTTCATTTGTCCTTCACAATACCCCTGTGAGGTGGGTGCTATTATTAACCCTCCCTGTTTTAAAGAAATTAATTCAGACTATTCACTGAAAGGTCAGATACTGAAGTTGAAGATTAAATACTTTGGCCATATAATGAGAAGATAGGACTCATTGGAAAACACCCTGATGTTGGAAAGATTGAAGGCAAAAGGAAAAAGGGATGGCAGAGAATGAGATGGATAGATGGTATCATGGAACAATGAACATGAACTTGGACAGACTTTGGAAAATAGTGGGGGAGAGAAAAGTGTGCATGCTATAGTCCATGGGGTCACGAAGAGTGGGACAAGACTGAACAACAACATTTTACAAATGAAGAAACTGAGTCTGAGAGCAGTTAAGTGACTTGCCCAAGACCACACACAGTATTTAAGGCAGGATTCAAACTCAGGTTTGAGAATCTTAGAATCATATGTTTAGAGGTAGAAGGCATCTTAGAGTTCATTGAAGCCAACCCTTTTGTTTTAGAGATGAGGTAACTGAGATCCAGAGGTCAAGATTTGAGCTCAAGCCTTCCTGACTCTAAGAGCAGTGCTGTATCCAAGTCAACAGACTTGAAGTGTTTACTATGTTCCAGACACTATGCTAAATGCTTAGGATACAAATGCAAGCAAAAAGAAATATTATCCTTACCTTCAAGGAGCTTCCATTCTAATGGAGCTGAAAAGTGGTTGTGGTTGCTGCAGGGGTGGTAGTGGGGGTAGTGGGGGTAGTGAAGTGAAGGGAGGGGTGTGGAGATGGTGGCTAAGCTCAGAGAGTCAGAAGCAGAGCTAGGAGAGGAGTGAAGCATGGCTGGCCTAAGCCCTGCCACACAATGGAGGTTCTGGGAGGCCCCATCAAGGGGAGAAGGGGCCACAAGGTGGAGGAATGTTCCAGGGGGAGATCACAAGTACTGAGTAAACTTTTTGGGTGAGAAAATAGCTGAGTCCAAAGCGTCAGAAACAGAACTTATATTTATATTGTACCTTAAAGTTTACTAAGCAAATTTACTAAGCAAGTGAGTTATATCTAACTATTTTATAAATCCTTTTGCTCCCTTTCTGAACTACTTTGTATTTGTTCTGTATTTGCTTATAATGTTGTTACCCTTGCTAGAATATATGCTCCTTGAGAATAGATGTTTTTTTTTTCTTTCTATCAGTAGTAGCTGTCAATGTCTGTCTCATAGGGACAGGGGATAGGTATTGAACCTATGACTGTGTTCTGTATAGGGAACTCCTTCCCAGGTGAAGAAAGTTCCTCTGCCAATGCAGATAGGCACCCCTTTTTGCAATTTATAGACCTAGAAAGTTGCCTGAGGTACTAAGAGTTTTAATGCCTTACCTTTTCTTACCTAACCAGCATATGTCAGAGGCCAGGAGGCCAGCTTTCTATCCACTATGCCACTTTGGCCTCTCTGCCACAGACTGTGATCTTAATAAATACTTGTTGATTGGTTAATTAATAGACAAGGAATTGTCTATGTGAATGGGGATTAAGTGACTTTTCCAAGGTCATATGGTTTTTAGTGGCAGAGTCGGAACTCAAATCCAGGTCTTATTCCACTTCCCTGTAATACTTCTGTTGTGGTGCTACCCCCTCCCCACTACAGTTCTATAGAAACAAGGGACATCTGTGAATGGAAACTACTTTTCCCAGGTGCCATATGGCTAGGACTGCTATGCAGTTCTCCTGGGCAACCAGGCATGAGGCCAATAATCCTAAATAATCTAGGAGGGAGAATTTTCTTCCTTCCTCGCCCCACATTGTTATATTACCCTAAAAAAAGAATTGAGTGGACTAATTCTGTTTCTTAAAATTAGTTCTCTATGTCACAGTTCACTTGCATACCAGTCACACCTATGTTAATAGTGGCACTCATTCAGGGTCATAGACTGGATAAGGGCAGGGACCAGGATCTCTGCTCTTTAATGTGGGATAACAGTGATCGCTGGGCATACATTATGGGCATTTGACAATGCAAATAATGTTTACCTAATGTAGCCTGAGCAGCATGGCCTGGGAGATATCTAAATCCTATCACAGACACAAACCCACGTTGATATTTAAAAGTGGAGACGTTATATAATGTGGTGACCAGGATGCAAATCATTTCAGCAAATCCTGGTCCAACCTTAGAGGGCATTAGGGAAATTTTTACCTAAATTGTAATAAAAATGACCACATACATTGTCAAGTACTCAGGAATCCCAGTTTAATTGTAATCATTACATTTGTAAAAGTCATCTAGAAGAGTTTTGGAGTTTTTGCTGACAAAAAACTACCTTTATCCTGGAGTGTTTTTTATCCTGAGTAAGTGCTAATTGTGTTTTATTTTAGGTTCTAAGAGAGATAAAGTGTGTGGGGGGTTTTTTAATGAAAGATCTCTTTGTGCAGGTTTCCAGCAGTTAGAAATTTGCTTTGTAGAAAATTGTAGGCAACCAGTGGAAGCACTCACTTTTTTTTCCTGTAGTCTAAAAGAAAGCAGGGTGATTTTTGCAAAAATAACTATTGGTTAAGACCTCAGCCATAGCCTTTACCTCCTTAAAGGGGTGGTTTAATATCATTAGCATTTCGAAGAGCTGGTGGTGGAAGCAGAATTTAAAACCCAACATGATTTGGCATAAATTCCTTTATTCATTACCCAACAGATATCTTGGTGTTTTTTTTTTTGGTAAAAACAACCCCAGACATCCAGTGTGCTTGCATGTATTTAATGGAACTATAGAAATGAAAACAGATAGTGGGGGCATGGGCCAATCTAGTGGGCAGTGGGGAGCCAGTGACCTCCCCAGAGTTCCTTCTGCATTCCTCTTAACATGAGACAGTATAGTAGAAAGAGTCCTGGAACAAGAACCAGAAGACCAGGTCTACATCTTCTCATCGTTCAAACTCTCTACTTCCTAATGTCCCTGTTTCTATTGAGGGTAGCACCATCTCTCTCACGTTCCTCCCAACCTTAGTGTCATCTTCAAATCTCCCTTCTCCCTTACATCCAGTTGCCAATTTTGTTGATTTCACCTCCACAATTTATCTCACATTCACTCTCATCTCTCCATTCACATAGCCACTATCCTGGATTATTGCAATAGTCTCCCCGCCTCCAGGCATTCCTCTCTTTAGTCCATCCTCCCCACAGTTAACAAATTCCATAAGTTCAAGGCTGACTATGTCATCTTCCTCAAGAAGCTCTACTGGCTTCTTTTCTCTGGGATGAAATTAAGCCTCCTATGTTTGACTTTTAAAGCACTTTCCAATCTGGCTCCAGCCTACCTTTTCAGGTTTATTGCATATTATATCCCTCTATGCATGCTACAGTCTAGCCACACCAATCTACTTCTCTTCCCTTTGTACAACATTCCATCTCATCTCTCAACCTTTGTATAGGCTGTCCTCCATGCCTCAAATGTACTCTCTTTTTACCTTCACCTCTTAGATTCCCTAGCTTTCCTCAAAACTCAGTTCAGTCCAACACTGAGCCTCATTTCCCCATCCAGTTTACAAGACCTCTCCCCTAAAACAAGAGTTCTTAAACCTTCTATTGTGTGTTGGGCATGATCTGGTG